GAAACATGAGACAACTGTATGACATAACAAAGAGACTCTATGGAAATCGCCGCAAACCTGAACGACCAGTGAAAAGCAAGGAAGGCAAGGTAATCACCAACATTGAAGAGCAACGAAACAAGTGGGTAGAACACTTTCAAGAACTGTTGAATCGACCAGCCTCACTGAACCCACCAAACATCGAAGCAGCACCCACGGACATCCCAATCGATGTTGACCCACTAACAATTGAAGAAATCAGCATGGCCATCAGACAAATCAAGAGTGACAAAGCAGCAGGACCAGACAACATCCCAGCAGATGCACTGAAAGCAGACGTGGCGGCAACTGCAAAGATACTCCACATTCTCTTCAATAAGATTTGGGATGAGGAACAAGTACCAGAAGACTGGAATGAAGGACTACTGATCAAAATACCGAAGAAAGGCGACCTCAGCAACTGTGATAACTACAGGGGCATCACTCTTCTCTCAATACTAGGAAAAGTCTTCAACAGGGTGTTGTTAAACAGGATGAAGGACTGCGTAGACGCCCAACTTCGTGACCAACAGGCAGGATTCCATATGGATAGATCGTGTACAGACCAAATCGCAACTCTACGGACCATTGTGGAACAATCAATCGAGTGGAATTCATCACTCTACATCAACTAGTTCATTGACTACGAGAAAGCATTTGATAGCGTGAATAGGACAACACTATGGAAACTTCTTCGACACTACGGCGTGCCTCAGAAGATAGTCAATATCATACGGAATTCCTATGATGGATTAAACTGCAAAATTGTGCATGGAGGACAGTTGACAAAGTCGTTCGAAGTAAAGACCGGTGTCAGGCAAGGTTGCCTACTTTCACCCTTTCTCTTTCTCCTGGTGATCGACTGGATCATGAAGACGTCAACGTCTGAAGGGAAGCGCGGGATACAATGGACATCTAGGATGTAGTTGGGCGATCTAGACTTCGCAGGTGATCTGGCTCTTCTATCCCAAACGCAACAACAGATGCAGGAGAAGACGACCAGTGTAGCAGCAGCCTCAGCAGCAGTAGGTCTCAATATACATAAAGGGAAAAGCAGGATTCTCCGATACAACACAGAATGCACCAATCCAATCACAATTGACGGAGAAGATTTGGAAGATGTAAAAACCTTTACGTATTTGGGCAGCATCATTGGTGAACAGGGTGGATCTGATGCAGATGTGAAGGCACGGATCGGCAAAGCAAGAGCAGCATATTTACAACTGAGGAACATCTGGAACTCGAAGCAACTGTCAACCAACACCAAGGTCAGGATTTTCAATACAAATGTCAAGAGAGTTCTACTGTATGGGGCAGAAACCTGGAGAACTACGAAAGCCATCATCCAGAAAATACAGGTGTTTATTAACAATTGTCTATGCAAAATACTTCAGATCCATTTGCCGGACACTATTAGCAACAACGTACTGTGGGAGAGAACAAACCAGATCCCAGCGGATGAAGAAGTCAGGAAGAAGAGCTGGAAGTGGATAGGACACACATTGAGGAAAGCACCCAACTGCGTCACAAGACAAGCCCTAACATGGAATCCTGAAGGTCAAAGGAAAAGAGGAAGACCAGAGAACACATTACGCCGAGAAATGGAGATAGACATGAGAAAAATGAAGAAGAATTGGATGGAACTAGAAAAGAAGGCAGAGTGGGACAGAGTGGGTTGGAGAATGCTGGTCAGCGGCCTATGCTCCATTAGGAGCAACAGGCGTAAGTAAGTTATTCTATCATCGTGCATACCTTTTTATCAGGCAACTGGAAACCGATTTCTATCATACATATACGTTTTTTCTATCATTGAAACTATTTTATAACTAATATGGACAATTCTTGAAGAATTTTCATTGCGAAGTTAGTTTATATAATCGTCTAACAATAACTAAGCAACTATTAAAAACTACGAAGCAGTGTACAGCTGTTTCATCCTATTATATAAATCCCTCATCACTACGTTTCTATGACTCATCAGAAAGCAGTACCATGATATGACAAAGCAGTTATTCAGTGCTTTTTGGTGTTCAATGGTGGTGTAACTAAAACTAGTTTGTGACTAAAACCTATAAAAATTCTACGATTTCCAATATCTCCATGGTGATAATCAAAGAGGTATTCAAAGTCAGGGGAACATTTACATGGTTGTTTTATTTTAGTTAAGCATCTGTGACATCAGTTTAGAATTTTCTTTTTACAAATTAACCGTCAGGCTTAACAAGATGTTTACATTAATATTTTAATAAATAATTTTTGTATGACGTGATATATACACGTATATTTTCCTGTCTAAAATTTCACCAAAACTATTTATCACGGATGAAATAAATTAATGATTGTCTTACTTCTAATAAATCTTTCATCTAAATTAATCATTCTTACCACGATGAATATTCAGTAAACGAAAAATACATTCTTTCACTGCCCTTTCACTGAATTTCCTTGCTTATAACTCCATAACTAATATATATTACGTAATTAGCATCCCATGACCAGTTTTATTTCAATTATTTTTGTCATTTTGTCGTTGCTGCCCTATGGAAACTCTGATATGATGTTAGATATGTAAAGTAATTTAGATATGGAAGTTATACAGAAATAAATGACACTGGGAAGTAAACCTAGGCCACATCGACAAAGATCATGACGAGTTTAACAAAAGCTACGTCGATTAAACATAGACTATCATATCAATAATTCTTTAAAAGCAAATGGTTGTCAGGATACGGAAAGGTAGAAAAGGAAAATATTAATCGTAGAAAACCAAATTAGTATACTTTAGTAAGCATTTACAAACGGTCAGTTTGGTCTGTTTTTATGGTCTTGATTGAACGTTTTCGATTGATTAATTCACTTAAATTATAGTTTTATAGTTACAAATACGTTACTGAGCTTTGTGTTAAAAATGACGTAGTTATAAACTGATTGAGATTTAATACTTGTGGTACGTTGTGGTTTTATATTTTATGAATAAAACCATATGAGTTTTAAGTCTAAACGGTTTTTTTGTAACTGCTTATCTGACCTTCTAGTGTTCTGATTAGAGGTTTTTTAACATGGGGAATTGTGTAACTAATCTTTTGCGTAGCTGTATTGATTCAATTATGTACTGTAGTAGTTCGAAAAAAGAAGTAACAAATTATTTGAGAAATTTCTGAAATCAAACGGAAATTTCCAATAAAAATGCATTTAATCTTATGGCACGATCGTAATGATGATGTTGGGATAGCTCGTTTATGACCCTAAGATTTACTGTGTATAGGCAACAGGAAATGGTTTGTTCTAATTTTTTTTTAAAAACAGCTGGAGAAATGAAATTTAAAAATATACATTCAGATTTTCATTATTCTTCACTGAAAATCGGTGCACGCAATCGTTACATCAGTGGTTTATTGAAATCTTTTCGAGTTCAAAGTCTCTTTATATATATATATATATATATATATATATATATATATATATATATATATATATAACAGTGACGAAAGTATTGGATATACTCTACACGGTTATTCGTTTACCTGCGTTTGTGTGCATGTGTCACAGTCTACAAGTCCTACTCTTTATTTTATTTAGTTTACCCGCCTTTTAGTAGATCTCTTTTTTTTCCATTGTTGTTAATCTAGTTCTATTTTTCGTCATATTTAATCGCTCTTATGATCTGTTGTCTTCAAATCCATATGAATGACCTCGGCCCTTTGCAATTTAGTTAGGACCATATAATCCTTTATGTTCTTAGCGGTATAAAGCACTAGCTGTAGTCATTAAATTTCTATTTATTTCTTTGTTTTGTCCATGTATATACCCTTGTTGTAATCTCTGGTTCATAATGAGTCCCTTGAACTTGTCTGGTTCTCTTGTAGGAAGCCCTAAACCTTTTGTAAAACTTGAGACGTTAATGTTTTGAATGTATTTTGAATTAATATCGATTAACCATATCATCTTTTTAATTATTAGATCTTCAAGTTTGATGGTCTGGCTATCCCCAGACGTATACAACAGAAACGTATTGACTAAAATTTTACTTTATAAAAAGTTCGAACTAAGTCTACCTACAGAGTGTTCAACACCATTTTTATAGCACTATTCCACTAAATAAGGTATTCTACAATCGATATTTGTTTCATGTATGTCTAGGCTATGGAACCAAAAAAGCATTCCGACGATGGTGTACAAATACTTGTATATACATGTATCAGACATGCTTTTTTGTTACCTTCCACTCTTACAGTGTGTATGTAGTAAAATCTTTATAAATCTAACCTTGATTCTACCTGCGTCAAATAAAACTTATCCATTTGTATAATTGAAATAACAGTCAGACTTCCTATTTTGTAAGTAGTTTATCATTGTGTATGTAAATAAAATCTCTTGTATGTATTTATATACATCCAAACCTACAAGGTAAAGACTGAAACAGTGTACACCTGATAGACAATCAGTTCTATGTGTTGTCAAAATACATAAGATATGCACACGTTACATTTACTTGACCATTTGCCTAGCGTGACTGTATATGATCTACGCACAAATCTAGAAGCATAAGCCGAATGTTATTCTCCATAATTGAATTTATTTGTGTATGTATGTAATCATGGCATCATAATCTATCAATAAAGTATGTAGGGAGCATAACACCCTAGTCTTGACTTCCTATCTTAATTCATTACAAATGCCAGTGCTAAATCAATAGATCCAATATACAATTATGAAATGACTCAACCCAGAAACAATAACAGGTAGGATGAAGTGGCAATCTGGTCAACTTATTATTACATGCTTTTAATACGTGAATAAAAATTAACCAATCAAAATTTAATTGACAAATTATACGATTCTTGAAAATTATTGGTAGGTTTTACGGATATATTTTCAAGTATTTGCTCGTTAGGTTGCGAAGATTAGTTTTTCCACGCATAGCAGTGGTTGCTGAGTCGTATTGTTACAACGTTTTGTGGTGACTTACATCTGACGTAACTATGGACAACTACAGAACGGAAATAAACATACCGATATCAAGAGATAAGCGAACATTCGAACAGCGCCGAAAGGATATGCTTAGTAATCTTGAACGTAGTTACAGTAAGCATTCAAGAACCGACATCCACAAGAATTCAAGTTCCGAGTCATCAGTACCCCTAACTGAATCAACTATAAGTGGATCAAATCGTCATATTAGTGATTGGGATGATGAAGTCAATCGCTGGATTAGTGAAACACGTAGCAAGTGGAGCGAAGACATGAAGCGAATGAGACAGTCCATGTTCGCTTTAGAGGTAAGAATTTATGTTATTTCTTACTTTGTCAAAAACTCCTAAACAAAAATGAGTCCATTTTACGTTGATTAAAATATATAAATTGTTTATCTTTAAGGACCATCACGGGAGATTAGACTGGGAGATGGTGGTTGGAAGTCGTTGATAGGAGACCCTGGACCTAGGTTTCGTTCTATTTGGCACTCGTCAGCAGGGCGTGCTGGTAATCATGAGGGAACTGATGGTCCGTGATGGGTTCGACCCCGTGTCACCCATCTTCACAGTCAGAGACGTTGTCACTGAGCTATCCGGGCCGTGACTGACCTGTACGATTTAGATGTATTTACAATTGTTTTGTCACTGGATAGTTACCAATGTCATGGGTGTAAATCCTTTGGCCCTGTAATTTCTGCAACTAGTTAGTACCATGATAAATAGCACTGAAGAACAATTACTTGATAAGTTAGCGTCTATGCAATCAAGGTTGAACAAGAAAATAGTTTAGGCTTGCTCACTGGACATAGCACATCATTGAAATAATGTTATTTACTAGTGGATTTTTAGACTCACAGGTAATGTCTGCCAAAATTCGTTGTATTCATTATATTTCTATACATTGAGGGATAGTTACTATACTTAGTATTATTAGTCATATGTTTTAATGTAAAATAGCACTAACCATATCTAATATGTTCACCTTGGGTCGGAGCGTTTGAATTTGATAATGAACACAAGAGTTAAGAAACCATAAAAAGGTATCTATCACTATTTAATATATCATATTCGACCTTCAGTGTTTCATTTCAAGTAAATGGAATTTATAAGCATTCATAACAATAAAGGGCATCCTTTATAAAAATTGGTATTAGTGAATGTTCTTTTAACATATATTACACCAGAGGAAAGAGAAAACAAATTTCATTCTTAACCTATATTACAGATCCCTATTGTTAGGAGCATAACACAGCCCCACATTCTTCATGGTTTGACACAGAATTCTAGATTATGTAGCCTTAAAACTGCTCATCACTATTTATCAATCATTTTATTTATTTTGAAAAAGTGGTAAAATCTGTCATTGAATGTACTTTGTGGCGGGAATTCATTCTGGTGGTTTAACTGTTTTGTTAAGGATTTCTAGATATCCTAGTTCAAATCGATTATATAGATATTTCTTGTCTTTAATAAAAATGATATGAGGATGATTCACTGACTAAAAATTATTTACTCAGACTTTAAAGTCACATTGATGTGTACTTTTTACAAATGTTAGTTAAAAATAGAATAGAGAGTTGGGAGAGACTATAATTTATGGACGAACCAATCACGTACTAGGTAACAGGTCTAGGGTTTTGGTGCATAATTCACCCATCCATTTGGCTAAATAGATTTTTGGCATTATAGCCGATGTCAGTTCGTGATGAAAACCCTAAATCTAATTCCTAACCCTAACCATCAAATGTAAATTATAATTTTAATTCCCCACACTGGTTTATGACTCGTTTGGTCCTGGTTACTAGGTGAACCCTCTCAAGGTCACTTTAGCGTCGCTTAAAGGTCGTCCATAAACTATAGTCTCACTAAGAGGTATTGTTTCATTTCACAAAATTATGAACAATGATTGAAAATTTTAAATAACAGTAGTCTCTAATAAGCTATTTTACCAAGGTTATGGAAATCAGAGAGGTTTTATATTGGTGTTCGCAAATATGAAAAGTCGAAGTGAGGTTATGTAATTATTTATCAGCTTACAAAGAAATGTTAATGATAGTTAATAGATGATTGTCATCCATCTGATGGATATGAAGAATAGAATGATTAAGTACTGTAATATTTAGAAAGAAGTGATAACGACAGATTTTTTAAGAATGGAATATAGAAAGAATTAAGACCACTTTAAAATGAGAAGTAAAACATGTTGCTTTTGTACACAAAGATTAGGCTTGAATCGGTGGTTTGATAAAAGTTATTCTGTACATGATTCCTCAATATATATTCCCTCTGGATCAATTCGTCTGACTGTATAGGTGACTTTTAAAGAGAACTGTAATGGTGCAATGTAACCAGAATTGACAGGATGTTTCGGGATTGAATAATGGACCGATTAGCATAATTCTTTTCATAGTCAGGTAGAGCGATGCTTGCATAAGTGTTTCGAAAGATCTCGCTCTATATAGTCAATGTAACCTCCTTTGCAACGTCAAATAAACTTGAAAAATGATATCTAAAGGTTCACGTGTAGAAAATGTTTTTATTTTTAAAATGTTTCCTATTCCGTGTAAACACTTTTGAATGGATTTCAAAAGAAATGTTTTCGAGAGGCCTGTTGTTCAGGTCAGCACACAACATATCGACATAGACCTTATTTACTAATCTATGCAGAAAAGACCAGCAAGTCACGTGACATGTGATCTACCAGTCAAGATGGAGGGAATACAGTGAAAAATGAGGCTGACAAAGTTTGTAAAAACCGACATCTGCAGGCAAGGTCATTAGAACAGAGTAATTTGTCCCCTGTAGAATAACTAAACAGCTTTCTCCCATATGTGAAGTGGGCGCTGACTATGATGTCCAGAGGGACAAACGAAAGCTTCGTGAAAAGTTTAACAGATACAGTTAACTAAATGTGTATCCGTCAATTAAGTAACACAAGCATTTGTAAATAGAGAACTGATGATTGCTAAATGTTTAATTTCTCTCAAGCCATTTTATTGTAATACTAGGTTTAGTTATTCCTACTTAGATTTCATTAGCCAGCTAAATAAATATCTGCGATACTGGTAACCAAAGTTGGATTTTTATCTAATAATTCACCCGAGCATAACTTTCTTCTCATGTTTATGAATAGTTGTTTAAGGGATTCTACAGTTCGTAGTTCTAGTAGAAGTTAATAAATATATAATTTGATGTCAATTTCATTTGAAACAAGTAATTCAGTTTCACATGATTACCATACTACTAAGCATCATACTTGTATACTTCAAAATTGTCCTTAAGATTTTTTATTCTATTTTGTGTAACATTCAGTTCAAGTAGGGTACTTTCAATTGCAAATGAGAATTCTTATAAAATGATGAACATTAGACTTTATTTGCATTAATACAAAACCTTACTCATTCGTTATCTTTCTCTAAATATGTCGAGTTTTATTCAATACTTTTCATTCTTTCTTTTCGTTTTTGATTTTAATACCATACTCTATATACTTGTTTCCGCTATTCTTAATATTATAATTATGTCGATCTATCTTGTTCAGTTCATAAACAAAAGAAACCTGGCATATATGTGTACAGGTTCAAGTTGCATAAGCATAGTGAGATGAAATCATTAAGAAAAATGAAAACATTGGGCATACACGATATTATTCCCGAACAAAGTATTTGAGTACTAAAAAGAATAAGGTATATTTAAACCTGGAGATCTAAAGAAAGTCAAGTGGTGAATGCCTTTGCGCCATTGAGACCTGTTCTCAATCATGTTACCTGACATCTGCAACCATTGGTTATGGTAATCGGATGAACCTCAACCAGGTAATATTCACCTACCAACATGGCTCAGAACTATGGTCACTTATATTATAGACTAATACCATGTTTTTTTGTGACCACTCCTTTGTCTTCTACACTAGCAAACGTTACAAGTCGATGTGGTAGGTGGTGGTTGGGTATACGTAACACATGTCTTAATCAGCTCAATCCATCAGGATTTTTGGCTTCATCAACTGTGATTGTAACAGAACTAGAGTTTTTCTTATTTTAAATTTGAAGTAACATTAAGATAAATTCTTCATTCAATTGAAAATAATTTATGGTAAAAAGGAAGGATACTAAATGTCATCAAATATTAGATCAAACTTCTATTGATTCAATCACAATCCTATATATAACTTTATTTTTTGCTAACCTACTTTGATCACTTTTTCACAGCTGCTGCAGTAGCACCAAATGTGTTAAGAACACCCACATTAACTGGTGTCAATACAGCATGAACTTTTAGTCAGTCTGAATTAGTAGGTAATTTGATAGATTGCATTTGCACTTATAACCTACCAGCTAGTGATTGAAAGTTAAGTGATATATAAATATAAAAATATCTAACAAATCAATATTAAGAAAGTGTATGGTTTGAAGCATGCTTGCATATTGAGTGCTATTGGTAAAGTTTTGTTCACTTTGATCATCAAGTATTTCATAACAAAGATAAAATAGCTTAGTTTAAAATGTATCAATGAAGGAGAGATGTTTTATCGCTTTGAATGAAAAAATCTACTCTTTACCGACAGTGTAATTTATTTCATATGACGTCATTGTATAAAACAGGTGGAGGAAGGGAAATAATAATAAAATCATGAATAATCATATTTGAGGATATCTATTGAGTGTTTTGAGCTTAATAACTGATATAATATGAGTATATGATGATCCTACTGAATTTAAAACATTCAAAATAATCATCTCGAGTTGTAAATCTTTTAACCTAAACGTATTTATACTAGTTATTAATTACTCAGTTGAGTTAATGATCAACAGGTTTTTGAGCTATTCAGTGTGTTTATTTATGGAAGCCGGTTATTAATGCAAATAAAGTCTAATGTTCATCATTTTATAAGAATTCTCATTTGCAATTGAAAGTACCCTACTTGAACTGAATGTTACACAAAATAGAATAAAAAATCTTAAGGACAATTTTGAAGTATACAAGTATGATGCTTAGTAGTATGGTAATCATGTGAAACTGAATTACTTGTTTCAAATGAAATTGACATCAAATTATATATTTATTAACTTCTACTAGAACTACGAACTGTAGAATCCCTTAAACAACTATTCATAAACATGAGAAGAAAGTTATGCTCGGGTGAATTATTAGATAAAAATCCAACTTTGGTTACCAGTATCGCAGATATTTATTTAGCTGGCTAATGAAATCTAAGTAGAAATAACTAAACCTAGTATTACAATAAAATGGCTTGAGAGAAATTAAACATTTAGCAATCATCAGTTCTCTATTTCTAGTTTATATGAATATTCTTTGTAAGGTTTCATGTTATCTGATTGCTAACTGACAGAACTGAGACTAACATGTGATTAAGCATAAATTTATTGTTACTACCTATAAGACTATATTATCAATCAATATTCAGTAAATTGATTTCACTGTAGGTTATATAATGCTTGAATAACATGTTCTTGATAATTATCTTATGTTATGAAATTACTAGGACTCAAATAATTGTGTTCGTACGTTATTATTTGATATAATTTTGACTCGAATGCTTCATTGAGATAATGTGATTTATAATCAGAGAGGGGTTTTGTGGAGATTTGTAGTAATTTAATGATTGAATTCATAAGTCAATTGAAGCTAGACCAACACGGAAAACCTGGAAGCACTGGACGGCAGTTTTATTCTAGTATGGGAAGTCTTTACTCCCATACTAGGATGAAACTGCCTTCAGTGCTTTGTGTTGTGTGCTACTTGTATTGACATAAGTAGTATATGGTGTTAGTTATGAACAGAAAGTCTGGCAGCAGAGAGACAAGAGGATCGAACAGTAAAAAAATGGAAACAGGATGCAATTTGTATGAAAATGCAGGAACAATGTAGTCTGAGTCATTTTGAGACAAATGGTGGACGTTTTGCAAACTAAGCATTTACTTTATGATTGTTAGATTTTATTAACAAGTCCTGTAATTCTGTGTTAAATACATTCAAGTGTCCCCACCCATCTCTTGTTCACTACACTTCCAGGTTTTCCTTGGTGGTTTAGCTTCAATTGCCTCATCAATTCAATTATTAGATTTGATTTATCTGAAATTTGTTTTTTATCATTCAATAAGTAAATCCTAGGAAGTTTCAAGGAAACATTTCACTCAGTCAAAGTGACTAACATGGGCTCATTCATTCACTGATTTTTAATATTTGAAAGCTGTTATTTTTTTCAATATTTGTTTAATCAATTATGTATAACAATTATGATTTATTACATGTACCACTAATATGTCCTCAATTACAATAAGACAACTATCTAATGTTTCGTGAATTTATGTATTTTTCCATTCATCCTGCATAGGTTTCTTAAAAGATGTGACTTATTTTCTAATATTTCCATTGACCATATATATATATACAATCAAATCAATTCATAGGAGAGTTACTACTTAATTTCTGAAATTTAGATTAATATCCATGAAATCGCATAGATTGTGTTTCCGTAGTTTAACTGTTACACTTCGGTTAAATGATAATATGACTTAAGACAATTTAACCTGACTATGCATATGTATATATACCACTTATTCAGTTTAAATCTATTCTGGTTACTTAAGTATTAATTTACCAAATACTGTTGTACTTTTTATTACTGAGATTTTGTGTAAAGGTGTTTGGAATTATGATGAGAATAGATTTCGATTGGTTGATTAAACTACAGATTATTTGATTACCATAGTATTCAATTATTTGATTATATGAAATAAGCAAGATTATATTCATTATTCATTTGTTTTAATAGAAAATGGTTAGTACTATTGATGTTGTAAGTTAGTTTTAAATCTAATTTCAGTATTTATTATTAGAATTAATCTTGTATCCTTATATTGGGTCGAAGAGGGAAACAGTTACGTCTCTCAGTTGTTCAATGTTTCAAGATTAATTATGATTCTGAAATGATCTAAATTTATCTTGACTACTATAGTAAAATTTGTAATTTATGGAAATTTATGTAGACGTGATATCCACCGTAAATTGTTTTCAACGGAGGTATATTGAAAATCATGGAAAATCGAACAGTTGTTTCATCCCAGTATGAAACTCCTAACCACTGCATACCCATGACTCTATCAGGATTCAAACTCAAGGTCTTCAGGTTTCTCTGAAAATACTTAACCATGTTTTGGATATTATCAATATCAGTAAAAGGTTCAGAAAAGCATTGATTGTACTCAAGTTAGTCTACACACAAACTGTTTATTTGAATAGTTCACTGTTATTAGTAATATCAAATTCTTCTATGATTAACAAAAGATCAGATCCTAGTAAAAGGAGTGAATTTTTCAATGAATAGAGCATATTTAAAATTCGCATAAAGAGTTACGATGAACCTTATATTCAATATAAATTCAAATTTGAAGGTTTTAATGAGTATCAATCATCATTCCGACATATTTGTTAATCAGAGAGTAGCTAACAAACCATGATTTGAAAACGAACTCTTAGTGCTAAACATTGTATTTTCTCATATATTTTATATGTCTCATTGACTTATCTTTGATCTTTTGTCTTCTAGCCTGTTGATGATTTTGATCTTGACCACTGGGGTAATTTTGAACCGATTCATTCACTTGATGATCCATCAACTATGATGGAACAAATGGAACGTCGAATGGAATCATTACGACAAAAAATGGGAACTATGTCCAGTTTTGGTCCATCACATTTTTCTGGTCCTAATAGTTCAACTATGCAAACATCAAGTTCACGTATAACATCATCTACATCTCATAGTAGCGGTAGTGATCCAAAAAATATGGTGACAAAAAGTAATGTTGTAGAGTCTACACAACATACACGTACAGTAAATGGTGAGACAACAACAACTTCAAGCCATTCTAGTTCATCATCTAATACATCAGGATTACCAGGCAGTAAAATTAATGTGACTAATACTCCAGGAAGTTTAATTTCACAAACGAGTGTCCCATGTGGCATGATGGATTTTCTCAAAGATGCCTATGAATTAGGTGATGATGGAAAGGTAAGATAAAATTTGTGAAATTTATTTTATTTTCAGTCTTAAATAAAATGTTTCGAGACAGTCAGACAGTATTTATCATAATTTTTAAGTTCTAATTGTTATTTTTCAATTCGAACTCGTATTTATACTAATACAATCATAGTGATAAGAGAATATTTGAATTAACTGCTAAGAATATGTTGAATATAATTATTACACAACCTAAAAGTTTGCCTAAATCATTCCAAGATCTATAATATCAGGACGTTTTGTTAAAAATAACTAAAAAGATACTATATGTACCTGCATCCTAATGTTGATGTGTACACCGTGACTCGGACCCAGTACTTTTATCTCCAAACACTATACACTTTATTCACTGAGCTACTGAGTTCAGGTAGCTATTCACCTATATGATACATCGAGGTGGCAAATCTTAATTAACACGAAATGTGCATTCTAGAATCCAGTACTAACCAAAAATCTATCTATTGAATGAAAAGAAACTAGTCTTATCTATCTCTTTAGTTGGTATCAAGCGGTCATGAAAATGATTAATGTAAATTAAATATCTCATCAATTATTCCTGAACTGTAACGAGCATTAATAGTGTGATTATTCTCAGGGACGGAGGTGTTATACAGGATATCGATTTCGTCTTGACAAACAAATAAAGACAATTATGACTAAAACTATTTCTGACAATTAAACCAATTCGATATTAATATCTTAGACTAATAAGCTGAATATAAAAATTTATTCAAATCTCTCAATCTGTAAAATTACAAACACATTCCACATTGATGATTACATTGATCAGCCATCTATCGGTTATCACTGTTATAACTTGTGGCCGAGTGAGCCCTGTTAATGGATAAGTAATGATACCGCCAATTAGGGAGCAGTGAATTATCGATCAGAACAATGACGCGTAAAACCCGAGAGAGCAGCCTAGAGTCCTGATTGGTCCTAGCCCAGCCAGTTAAGTTCAGAACACCAATCCGAGCCTCTGCAATATGAATCATTATATTTCAACCATACTGAATTTATATACCAATCAAACAGACCACAACGTACCATAAAATAGAAAACAACATTTGTACAAGATTTGACCAAATGTGGCTGTGAATGTGGGAGGCAGTGACTAATAGACAGGGCATAATTCAAGAATGGTAAGATGTATAATAATGGTTCATAGGTCAAAATAAAGCTTATGATAAGAGAGATATGAATATGAATAGCTTAGTTGATTAACAATTATACGATGAAAATATACGTATAGTATTGGTCCACAAATGGGTCCCAAAGTTACCATTCATTATGCTTATCAAAACCTAACAATCACTAACTAGCCAATCTTTCAACAGGTCAGATAAATGTAACTCAATGTAAAATGGAATTAAAATAAACTGAACTGAACTGAAAATGCACACACCATCAGACATCATCTGTATACTGGGTATTAATAATTGCTTATATAAACAACATATAAATCATTCGTTTTATCATTGAATACATCATTTATGCATTGAATGCTGGTCGGCGGCCTATGCTCTATTTGGGAGTATCAGGCGTAATTAAGTATGTAATCTATTGAATGCACTAATTGAAATTGATGATACACTTAAAATAACTAAATTCATTAGATCTGTACTGTCTTATTAATCGAAATCGATGAACACAAAGTATTACTCTTTTTTTGTTGTTGATTTTTTTTCTTTCTATTTACAAAAATCTAAATGAACTTTAATACATAAAATGCAGCATAAATATATTACACTTCATTTTATTTGAAAGAGTTAAAAAGAAATCTATCCAAACTTGAGGAATGTTTTTAACACATTAATTAGATTACATATTTTAAAGTAATTTGTTTTTTTTTCTTTGGCATTTGTTTTCTAGCTTCATCTTAGCACCTTAGTGTAATTTAATATGCTTAATTGTTGTTCTACTGGGATCACCGGGTAAGTAATAGTGAGGTTAGACACAGGGTATTAGGGAATGATGGTAAATCAGTTGATGAGGTTGTGAATCTTTATCGACTGAGATGGTTGGGCCACGTGTTACGTATGCCTGAACACCGATTGCCACGACGTGCAATGCTAACCGGTGTTCGGGATGGTTGGAAGAAAGTTAGGGGCGGCCAAACCAAAACGTCGCATCAGTGCTTAAAGTCACTAACTTCTAGTCTGAGCCATGTTGGTAGATGCAGATTAAATAGAGCAAGAACAAACATTGATGCAGAATAGTATGAATTCATATTATTTCGAGGTTTCTCGTCAGCTGCTTACAAACCAAAATTGTGATAGAATTTTTACATGGAGATAGTGTGAAACAATTGACAGAAATGAGTGTAAATAACGTGATTACAATAATAACTATATATATATGCTAGAAACAGGTCAGAGGTCAAAAGAGGGGAGTTAATCCAGGGTGGGTGGTGTAATAATTTAGTGAAGTTCATAAATTGTGTGATAATTGTAGAGATTAATGGAATTAAATAATGATAAGGTAGATTACGTAATAATAATTAAATAGGGTTTGGAAAGTTGAGATGATTCAAGAGGATCAGGTGAAGGAAATGTGTGAATAAAATTTATTTTAAGAATCAGGTAATAGAAGGGGAGTATAAATTATCTTAGAATAAGTAAATGAATAAAATAACCAAAACACAAAACAAACAGAAACAAAAAGATTACCAGGGTAGTGATAAGTTTATTAAAGTCTCTTTTTGGATGCATAAGTCCGGTTTCAGTTTCTTAATTGCAATGGCTTCAGCAAAGCGGAGAGTGGTAGTAGTTCTTTGTCTATTGATTATTTTAAACGCATGCATAATATCGACGGTATGCCCGGTGTCAAGTAGATGCCGAGCTATTGCACTGTTAAAAGCTTTAGTCCCTCGCAGCGTCAAGTTCTTCGGAATATGCTCAGAAATGCGAACCTGTACTCTTCTCTCAGTTCTTCCAATGTATGTGCTACGGCACGTACATGTGAATTGGTAAATGCAGTTGGAGCAACTGAGGGGAGAGGACTTGTCGATTTTCGTTTGTTTCAGTGAGCAGTATGTTTTCCATAACGTAGTCAGTTTGGCTGCCGGGTAGGTCACTTTTAAAGCGGAATTAATTCTGTGATTGATAATTCCGGCGACTTCATCTCCTTTGAAGCGTAAGGATAGGAAGCAGGTTTTCTTTTCAACTGTATCATGCTTAATCGGAGGGTTTGTATTAGCATATTTGTGGATGAATTTATCCGGATATGCATTTTCACGTAGGCATTTGGTGATTGTAGTAATTTCTTCTTCGAGACATTCTTTTGAGCAGATTTTTCGTGCGCGGTCAAAAAGGTTTCGCACAATACCCTTTTTATAACTCATTGGACAGAAGCTGTTAAAGTTGAGATAAACTCCGCTCCAAGTATTTTTGCGGTGAATGTGTCTTTGTAGTGTGCCGTCTGATGTTCGCCTAATTCCAATATCTAGGAAATGGAATTTATCATCAACTTCATGTTCCATGGTAAATTCAATATCTTTGTGTACTTTATTGAACAGACTAAGTAGGTACATGGAGTGTTGGTGATTTTTGCAGACAAGGAACGTGTCATCCATATATCTGCAGTAGAGTGTGGTACTGTCGATTGCGTGCTTCAGTTTCTTTTGTTCCAGATGTCCCATAAATATGTCGGCAAGAATTGGGCCTAGAGGGCTGCCCATTGCTATTCCATCAATCTGTCGGTACAAAACATTGTTAAATTTAAATTGTATGTTTTTTGTACACAAAAACAAGAGCTGTTTAAATTCCTGGGGTGGTAAAGGCAGGAGTTCTGGATATTCACATATGATCTCTGCCGTTTCTTCCAAGGGGATATTTGTGAAAAGCGAAGAGACATCAAATGAAACCATGAATTTGTCAGAGACATTAAGGTTTTCAAGTTTTTGTACAAATTCAAAGCTGTCTTTCAAACTGTAGGCTGCTAGTTTTTTGCGGATTGGTTCCAAGCATCTAGTAAGCCAGCGGGCAAGTTTATGGAAAGGTGATTTGGCCATCGATAATATTGGTCTTATAGGGACGTCGGGTTTATGTGTTTTGGGTAGCCCATATAAGTATGGCAATTGTGACCCTTTTGGTTTAAGTTCGTTATACGTATGATTATCTATTAGATTTTTCTTAACAAGTTCTCTCAACTTTCTTAAGACACGTTTCTCTGTCGCATCTGTTAGGTCACATGTACGTGCCGTAGCACATACATTGGAAGAACTGAGAGAAGAGTACAGGTTCGCATTTCTGAGCATATTCCGAAGAACTTGACGCTGCGAGGGACTAAAGCTTTTAACAGTGCAATAGCTCGGCATCTACTTGACACCGGGCATACCGTCGATATTATGCATGCGTTTAAAATAATCAATAGACAAAGAACTACTACCACTCTCCGCTTTGCTGAAGCCATTGCAATTAAGAAACTGAAACCGGACTTATGCATCCAAAAAGAGACTTTAATAAACTTATCACTACCCTGGTAATCTTTTTGTTTCTGTTTGTTTTGTGTTTTGGTTATTTTATTCATTTACTTATTCTAAGATAATTTATACTCCCCTTCTATTACCTGATTCTTAAAATAAATTTTATTCACACATTTCCTTCACCTGATCCTCTTGAATCATCTCAACTTTCCAAACCCTATTTAATTATTATTACGTAATCTACCTTATCATTATTTAATTCCATTAATCTCTACAATTATCACACGATTTATGAACTTCACTAAATTATTACACCACCCACCCTGGATTAACTCCCCTCTTTTGACCTCTGACCTGTTTCTAGCATATATATAGTTATTATTGTAATCACGTTATTTACACTCATTTCTGTCAATTGTTTCACACTATCTCCATGTAAAAATTCTATCACAATTTTGGTTTGTAAGCAGCTGACGAGAAACCTCGAAATAATATGAATTCATACTATTCTGCATCAATGTTTGTTCTTGCTCTATTTAAATTCATAAAGGGAACCAATTGCATG